AGATGTTGCAGGTACAGGGGGTTAAGCTGTTGAGTGGAACCTTCCATCCGATATCAAAGCGCCTGGTTCCAATCTCAGCTACTCTGCTTCTAGCCCAGTTCCCTGATAACGCATCCTGGAAGGCAGCAGATATTGGCTCTGGTGTCCAGGCCCCTACCACCCCTGTGGGAGCCCCAGATGAGACTTCCATGCTCCTGGCTTCATCCTACCCAGCCCTGGCTATTATAGGAATTGGGTAGTGAACCAGGAAATAGAATCTCTTTGTCACTCTTTCAAGTAACTGAAAATAAATAATACTTAAAATTTTTTATTAAAAAATCAAAATGAGAATACATTATTAGAAAAAGGTTGGTAGGTTAGGTAACTTATGTAAAACAAAGACATCTTAGAAAAACTCTCAAGACCCAAATAGATAAACCAGCTAAAGACAGGCAATTCATAAAAAACATACATGCAAGTGTCCAATTTCACTACTAAATTAAAACTGAATTAAAGTAATTAGACAAAATTTCTACTCTTTAAAATTAAATTAAGAAGGATTAAAAATCCAGTTTCTGGGGCAGCACTTGGGGTAGCAGTTAAGGTGTAGATTTGGGGGCAGACACTGTGGCACAGTGGGCTGAAAAAGTACTGCTTTTTAGTCCCTGCTGCAGTAGCAGGAGTAAGGGAGCAACTCACATGTTCTAGGTCATGTGAGCCTAGTCACATGGCAGTACCCCTACAGGTGGGGGTGGGGAGTGTCACACAAATAATGGTATAAAACATGCAAAGAAGATAAATTCATAAAATAAAAAACTTCCAACTTCCTGCACTGGAAGTGACCAGAACAAGCCTTAAGAGTCACAAAGAGGTTAGTAAGTTATGGCCATCCTTACTTTCCTAGGCACAGTAACGCTGCAAGTCCCACAGATTTAAGTGGAGTTCTAATGCTGAAGAAGAATGAAAAATAATGGAAAAAAACTTTAAAAATTGCATTCAATCTTATATTTCAAGGCACTCTGATAGCTTAGCACACTCTTGAGTGCAGCATGCCTTGCTGTTAGAGTAGTTGCTTCAGGCCCAAAGACAAGTCTTAAGGATCAGTAATTGGGTTGCTTTTAAGTTTCATAATATCCCTCAGTTCTCAGGCCCCTGAGCTCTTGCACTACAACTCCTGGTGGGTAGTGTGATATGGGCCCCAGTGGAGAGCTGGTGCTCCCAGGAGGACAATGCAAGGTCTTGACTGCATACCATCTAGTTTTAGAGCCCTAAAGAGACACCCAAGACTGAAAATCCTAACAAAAGCAAATCCAAATCCAAATGTTAAGCTAGTATAAAACTGACAAAGAACAAGCACACCAGGCAAATTTTATTGAGGACGCCAAGGAATAAAAATTCCTTAATCCCCAGAACTCAAATATTGCTGTATTCCTTTTGGTCCTCTCTCTTTTTTTTTTAAAGTCTCAAGTCAACAGCTCTGAATGACTCATGTGGAAACAGGAACACATTTCTGGTTGTCCTCTCCAAAGTACTCCAGGACACAGATCACTTTATCCCTAAGGAAGATGTCCGGTATTTGACCTTAGTATATCCACAGTGTTCCATACACTAAAGCCAGGACGTGTGGAATCTGCATTACATTATGCAGTTTTTCTATCTGTCCTCTTGTTTAGTTCACATTACACTTCAACTGAGACTGCGGCTGTAGTGCTTCACTCTTTCCCAGGTTCGACACATCTGGGATATCTCAGAGCTTTCTCACGTCAGCTCTACCTACTAACTTCTGTAGCTATAGCAAAGTCACAGGACTACATGCTCTATCTGGGTAATGTGTAATTTTACAAAATATAACATGATAAACAATTTCAAAGTATTTTCATAATATATGTGAGAGATCCTCAAAAAGTTAGTGGAAAAAGCATTCTGTGAAAAAACTACATGTGCATTTCAAAAAACTTTGGCATCAAAATAAATTTATCTTTTTAAAAAAATATTTATTTGGTAAGCACAGTTAGAGAGAGAAAGAGCAAGAGAGAGAGACACAGAGAGAGAGAGGACTTTCATCTGCTGATTCGCCCCCCAAATGGCCACAACCAGAGCTAGGCCAGACTGAAGCCAGGAGCTTCTTCCAGGTCTCTCACGAGGGTGAAGGGGCCCAAGCACTTAGGCCATCTTCTGCAGCTTTCCAAGGCACATTAGCAGGGAGCTGGACCAGAAGTGGAGTAGCTGAGACTTGAACTGGTGCCCATATGGGATGTTGATGTAACTCACTACACCACAATGCCGGCCCCCCCAAAATTTATCTTTTAATTTCATTTTTTCACAAACTTTTTTTTAAAGAAAGACAGATTTTTCAAGTTTTATTTTATTTACTTGAAAGGCAGAGTTAGAGTGAGAGAGTGGGAGAGACAGAGAGAAAGAGAGGTCTTCCACTCTCTGGTTCATTCTCTAAATGGCTGCAACAACCAGGAATTGACCATCCAGGTCTTCCAAGTGGGTGGGAGGGGCTCAAGTTTATGGACCATGTTCAATTGCTTTTTCAGGTCCATCAGCAGGGAGCTGGATCAGAAGTAGAGTAACAGGGACTTGAACCGGGGCTCATATGGGACACCCGCACACAGACGGCAGCTTAAACTGCTGCGCTACGGACCGGTGCTGTGGCTCAGCGGGTTAAGGCCCCAGCCTGTAGCACAGGCATACCATATGGGTGCCGGTTCTGGTCCTGGCTGCTCCTCTTCTGATCCAGCTCTCTGCTATGGTCTGGGAAAGCAGTAGAAGATGGCACAAGTTCTTGGGCCCCTGCACCTGTGTGGGGGACCTGGAGGAAGCCCCTGGCTCCTGGCTTCGGGTCGGCGCAGCTCCAGCCATTGCAGCCATCTGGGGAGTGAACCAGTGGGTGGAAGACCTCTCTCTCTGTCTCTACCTCTCTCCGTAACTCTGTCTTTCAAATAAATAAAATAAATCTTAAAAAAAAAAAAAAAACTGCTATGCTACAATGCCAGCTACCCCCACAAACTTTTGAATTACCTCCATACATGTGTTAATTTTATGTTGTATAAATATAGACCATTTTTACTATATTTCATCTGAAAATATTTTAGTGTACATTTAAATTATAAATAATCTGAAAATCAGATACTTATCTTTTAATACGTGTGGCCCTACATTAATAGGTGTAAATGAGATGTTAATAAGCCTTTGACCAAATGAAATTGTTTTCCATTGTTAAGGTGCTTTTTAAGTCTAATAAGCATTTGGAACAAGAAAATGGATAAAATGCCATGGGCTCCAGGGTATATTTGCCCTTATATCTCAGTTCTACACTTTGGCACAGTACCTAACCTTTAGTTCCTCAGCTTCTGTAAGAAAATATCTCACAAAGTTCATGGAGTGGCAAGTATTTGGTCTCGTCAATGTCCTCATGCCATGTTGAGCAGCTCAGATTTTATTTTTCTTGACAATGAGCCACTGACAGACTTTAAGTGGTTTAGAAAGACTTTTGTGGTAACTACATCAATAGTTTGCATGGACTGAGGAAGATAAAGCTGGAGGAGAAAGGTTCAGAAAGTGACAGGACTCCAGGTAGACACTTAGAAGGCAAGTCTTTGGACTCGCATTAAGACATTATTTGGGAAACAAGCACCTCTTTTCAAGAGTACTGGGTTCCTGTGCCAGGTCTGGCTCCCAATGCTGCCTTCCTGCTAATACAGAGGTTGGGAGTCAGAAGATAAAGGCTAAAGTGGCTGGGTCACTCCATCACATGGGAGACTTAGACTGAATTCTGGGCTTCCAGCTTCAACCTGGCCCAGCCCTGGTATCTTCAGAACTCTCTAACATCTGTGCCTTCATAAGTTTCCATCTGGAGTGCTATAGCATTCTGAATCTTTCACCTCCAGCTTTATCTTCCCCATGAAAAAATGTAATATAGGCTGGTACACTGGCTCACTTGGCTAATCCTCCGCCTGTGGCACCGGCACTCCAGGTTCTAGTCCCGGTTGGGGTGCCAGGTACTAGTCCCTGTTGCTCCTCTTCCAGTCCAGCTCTCTGTTGTGGCCTGGGAAGGCAGTGGAGGATGGCCCAAGTGCTTGGGCCTCTGCACCCGCATGGGAGACAAGGAAGAAGCACCTGGCTCCTGGTTCCTAGCTTCAGATCAGCATAGCTCTGGCCGTAGTGGCCATTTGGGGGATGAACCAACGGAAGGAAGACCTTTCTCTCTGTCTCTAACTCTCATCTAACTCTGCCTGGCAAAAAAAAAAAAAAAAAAGTAATATAGGCACCAAAAAGGTCTCCCTAAACCATTGATCTAATATGTTCACTAGGTCTAACGTCTATCGGTGGCTCATTGTCAACACAAGGAAAAAAAGAAAAAAGTCTGAACTCCTCAACATGGCAGAAGACGTTCACTATGTGGCTCTAGACTCACTTCCTGAAGGTCCCCCAATTTCCTTATTCAGCCCCAGTTCTCCAAGCACACCACAATCTCCCTTACATATGAGTCTCTCGACTTCAGCACTATTAACATTTCGAGCTCTGTAACTATTGTTGGGGGTTGTCCTTTCCATGGTAAGAGTTAACAGCACCTCTGTCCTCTGTCTACTAGGTCAACCCCAACCCCAAATGACAATCTAAACCTTCCCCCAGACACAGCCAAATGCCCCTGAAGTCCTAAAATCAACCCCAGCTGAGAACCACTGGCTTACAGCCTTGACTTCACACATCAATGTGTGTTAATCTCTTACTAAAAAGCACCTACTTTCCCCTCTCACTCTCACTAGAAATTGTCCACTTGGTTAATTCTTTCTTGAAACTTCAGGTCAGCTATCATCTCCTCCATGAAACTCTCTCTGCTCCCAGTGGGGTAACTGACGAGCTGGCCTTTTTTCTGGGTACTCCAAGCACTTTGCACTTAATCCAGTCATGGTCAAGCACCTCAAGCTTTACAAAAGTGCTATGTTCTCTACCAGACTGCCTGCTCTGGGCTGTTGGGACTGAATACCTGGCCACTATATTTTCAACATCTGATGCTATATGAAGCAAGTGCTCAAAAAATGATGGAATTAATGAAGGGAGAGGTTTATATAAATATTCTATATTATGACAGTTAAGAAAAATGGTCAATATAATCCGTGAAGTCTGACGCTTTCAAACATTAGAAACTTTTTATAGTCTCATGTTCTATCAGTAATCATGCCCAACTTTCATGAAAAGATAAACAGGTAGAGAATGAAAGGTAAGGAAGCTAACTTACAGCTTGTAAGTACCGAAAAGACAAGATGGGAGCACTTAATGCCCCGTAGGCGTTACTGTCTTCAAAGTCTCCTTCTTCAAGCAGGAACTGCTGGCCTTTGAAATGTTCCTTCTCATAGGCAACCCACCTGGAAGTACATTGGGTACACAATGTAATAAGCTATAGTCAACATCAAGAAAACTACAGTCAAGAGAGCAAAAGAAAAAATCATGATAAAGCACAGATTTGTTCATCTCCATATTTAAAAAAACCCTACTTGCTATATTTTTATATACAAAGACAAATGGCCTGTGCTTCACAGATCAATCACTTTTACAGTCCACAGGCTTTTCCCAACAAATCCTAACTACAGAACTGCAACAGAGCAATATTCTCTACATGTTTGTGGCATGACTTGATCCATCCCAATGTACTCAGAGAACAGTTTGCTAAGTAAAGAAAAAGAAAATAGAAAGCACATATTGACAATGAGAAAAGTTACAAACCACACTGAGATTCAAAGATAATTATCCTTATTTTACTGATTAAGCTTTCTGCCATCACAAAATGACTACTGTATTAAAAATGATTTTGGGTTTAAATCAAGCAAACTTCTCACCGATTCCAGATTAAAAAACAATAAAAGAGTTCAGTAAACAGCAACTGGGAAATGAGACAGAGCTGGTATTAGCCCCAGTGACCTAACTGGTGCCCTAAATGTATACAAAGACGTCTATAAATACTTATGGGTGGAAATGCTGGTCCCACCATTCTATCAGTGGCTATTATAGAAACAGGAAGCACTGTGGCAGAGTATTTTCCAGCAACAAGGTTCCTTGCCTTTTTTTTTTTTTTAAGATTTTATTTATTTCAGAGGTAGAGTTACAGAGAGATAGAGAGGGGTCCTCCATCTGCCAGTTCACTCCCCAAATGGGTACAATGCTTAGAGCTTAGCTGATCTGAAGCCAGGAGCTTCTTCTGGGTCTCCCACACAGGTGCAGGGGCCCAAGCACTTGGGCTATCTTCCATTGCTTTCCCAGGCCATAAGCAGAGAGCTGGATCAGAAGAGGAGCAGCCATATGGGATTCTGGCTTTATATGTGTCAGCTTTATCGGCTATGTCACAACAGCCCAGAAACTCATCTTTTTTATGAATACATAGTTTCTAATGAAACATGGACATAGATGGCTCATAAAACATGCTGACTTGCTTAAATATGCCTCTCAATTGTACTGTTTAGTGAGAGAGGTACTCCCACCAACTAGGCAGATCCCAAAGATGCCTGTTCTGAGCTCCAGGGTTGGGGACTTCAGAACTCTGGAGCTTGACAAAAAAGAAGGCTAGGAGGGCTACCTACTATTGTTTTTACTTTCTCTACTAGAGTTGCAAATATATAAAAAAACAGTCTAAAGAGTTGTTTTCATGGAGCACAAATAATAATGTTCAATACCATTAGCTCCCTCTTGCTTTCTGTGTGTAAGCATATGTACGATTTGGTCAGGGGTAAAGGGTGTTCACCTGAGTTGGAATAACCCTATAAACATGAAAACAACTTAGTTCATGTGTAGTATATAAAGATACCAACACTGTTTATTTATTAAACTATTTGTGAAAATAAAATTTGCAAGAAAATTTACAAAATTCTAAGCTTACTTTTATAAAGCAATGTAACTACTCAAAACATGCTTTAATTATACGTGAATGGAAAAAGGAATAAAAGGTATAAAAGACCTTAATGTTAAAGGACAGATTATAAGTAGTAAATCTATTACATAATGAGAGTTCAAAAGCCTTCTGAAGATTTTCTTAACAAAGTTTTGTTGAAGATTCACTTTATTTATCAACCTTAGATAATTAAATGTACATGTTATCTGAGGAAAATTAAAAAAAAAAAAACAGTTGCACTTTCCCCAGATTCCACAGCAATGAGGAACAGATAAACAGTAAACAAAGCAAAAAATAGAAGTGGTAAAAAAAGTAATGAAGTCAGTTGTTCATTTTTGAGAAGGGACATTTAAATTTTTCTCCTGTAGTTGTCATATAAAATAAAAATGTGTGTACTGTATTAAAGTCAAGACTTATTTTCTTTAGATTTCTATAAAATAGTTGCAAAAATCTTAAGAGAAAAGCAATGTGCATCATTCTGAATTTTAGCTGATAATTTTTTGTGAAGTAGACCAGTTTTAAATTGATCTAGTTAATAGGAAAAACATTTTTATCCCAAAGGGTGAGGGAAATGCAAAAATATTTCCTAGCAGGGTTAATAACAATCATGTGTGTTCACAAACCAAAGAATGTAACAAATAAACCCAACACAACAAAAATGTGTTCATCCAAACCATATTCGTTCTTCTAGCCCTGGAAAGTTTTTCTAAAATTCAGGGACAAGGAATTAAATTATTACCAGTGTATCAGATCAGTTACTGATATGATGTACCTACGTATTACAGTGGTATATATTATACATCAGTCTCCTACCTTTAGGCTGGGATGACTGTCAAGTAACTTAATGTCAGACATTGCCAAGTCTAAGTTCTAAATATAGACACTTCAGTGACCTTAGGCAAATCATTTACATCCCATGAATACAATGATTTTAGTGCTGCCTTTGGTAGAGTAGTATAAACAAGTTGTAATATGTTACAGCAAACATCATGAGATACTGATGCTTAAATTAAAATGACCCAACTTCCAAGACAACCAGTGTATCAACAATGAGACAACAAAGGTTGCAGGCAGATTCCAGCACTGGGCTGACAATGCCAAAGAAGCTATGAGGAAAGTTTCTTCTCCGCAGCTTTATCTGCCAGGACACGAATACAAAGACACATCCCGGCTGAGCTGCACGTTTCGTGGGATGTCTGCCCCAGGTACTGCTGAGACTGAAGCGTGTCAGCGATACTTATATGTGTGCCGAGACTGTACCCGGCGTTCTTAGAGGGATTCTTCAATAGCTGCTCATGGGAAAACGGCAACCAATGTCAAAGTTCCCCTTGAATGAGGAAGAGCCTAATAGCAAGGTCCTTGGTACCTGAATCATCTCAGATCAGCAGAATAGAGAATAAAAACTGGACTCCTACTCATGCTCACAACCTGTGAAAAACTAATTTTATTCTTCAATTCTTTGTTTCCACACTGTGTTTAGAAATACTAAGTGTTGAAGCTTTAGAAACTTTTATATTTAATCTATCTTAAAATCTTTGATACCAACAAGAGTTCACAGAAAGCCATCAGTAACTAATGTATTTTTAACTCACCATATTACAGAAAGGATATATATTTTTATGCTAATACAGGTTGCTTTTGCTCTGCCTAGTGCATTTTTGTGCCAATCTTCAAAAACAGGCTACTAAATCAAAAATTGAAAATATGACACTCACACTCCACCAATGACACGAATTGATCCAATTCCATGAAAGTCATCATTTTTTAAAAAATTAGGGACAGAATCTATATGTTCACTAAACTCTTTATATTTCCCATGGAAGTGAGGTTTTTCATAAATAATAACCTGAAAAATATAAAAAGATTTAACATGTTCATATTTTAGGACACATATTACTTCAATAACAGTAAAAACCACAACATATATACTTAGTGTCTGATATTCACAAGGAATGAGTCCTTATCATCATAAAAGTAAAATATCTTAATTTTAATGCTTCTCTCATATGAACACTTTAGTATAACTATATTGCTCTGGTCACCCAAATTCTAGGACCAGCTCAGAGAGTAAACTCATAACTGATTCTTGGATGCTGGAATTTATTTGAACAAGAAAGCTGTCAACTGGAACAGGAGTTGGAAATGAAAATTTATTAATATAAAATAATATCAACATAAAAACAGCCCAAATGGGGTATGGTGCATGTTATATCCTTCTCTGTGGAGGAGAGCAGAGAGAGAGGCAGCTGGAAGACCTTCAGGCTGCCCACAGAGTTCAAGTCTCAGCCTCACAGCATGCCCCCTTGAAAGCACCCGCTGAAAGGTTTTTCAAACCTGAAAGCTCACAGAGGTGGACTTAGAAGGCTTCACAACAATGGAATGTCTATGACCTGCCAAGATTCCCACGGCAGAGAGCAGTGTCCTCCTAGTGCTGCCTCCACACTCCAGCCACTGACCACGAGAGCCACCCCCTGAAGACTGCAAGAGGCCAGTGTGACCCAGAGGACAATGAGGACGGCAAAAAAGACATGGCTTCTTGTCTTTCCCCTGCCTGGGAGTCAGGGACAATCAATGGAACTTGGCTTAAGATCAACGCTTTGGGCCAGTCATGGAAAGACTTACGCAGAACTGCAGCTTTCATTTTTTTTTTAAGAAAGATTTTTTTTTTTTATTTGCGCTATGAACAGCGCTGCGCCGATCCGAAGCCAGGAGCCAGGTGCTTCCTCCTGGTCTCCCACACAGGGCAGGGCCTAAGCACTTGGGCCATCCTACACTGCCCTCCCAGGCCATAGCAGACAGCTGGACTGGAAGAGGAGCAACTGGGACTAGAACCCGGTGCCCATATGGGAGGCCGATGCCACAGGCAGAGGATTAACCAAGTGAGCCACAGCGCCGCCCCTGCAGTTTTCATGTTTAACAAATCTTTTTTGTTTTTAAATCACTGGCTTCTACAAAAATCTCTCCCAATAGATCATCAGAGTCTGTACAGCAGCGAGGTTTTCAGCAAGAACGGCCTATGAATGGCGGGAACCCATCCTCCCACAGGGCAGAGGAGACGGTTAGGTCTTGAAATGAGGCTCCTGACACAGCCCCTTTACTCTGGGTGAGGGCTACTGTTTTAAGATTCATTTATTTATTTTGAAAGAGTTGGGGAGGGGAGAAGGAGGGAGGGAGGGAGGGGAAAGGAGAGAGAGGATATGGATAGAGCGAGAAAGACATCTTCCATCCCCTGGTTCACTCCCCAGGTGGCTACAATGGCCAGGATCCTCATTCACGTCTCCCACGTGGGTATAGGGGCTGAAGCACTTGGGCCAATCTCCACTGCTTCCCCAGACCTTTAGCAGGGAGCTGGGTGCCAAGTGGAGCAGCTGGGATACTAACTGGTGCCCACATGTGATGCCAGTAGCATTGCAGGCTGCTTGCTTAACCCGCTAGGCCACAACACTGGCCCCACGACTGCTGCTAAAGACACAATGGCACATTCACACTGAGCAGCAGTGCAGGAGCTGATCCTCCAGGGTTCTCCTCCTCATCCTGAATTTCTGAAATCCTGTCTGTTGAGTGAAGGATCTCAGCAACGAGATCCAACGTTTTGCCCGCCCCCGCCTCCACACCAGTTGCTTGATGGATGCGTGGGTGCCGTTGGAGACCACGCAGAGGTACTGCGGGGCCACGTCCGTGCTTGGCTTCACCACTGTCAGGCTGGCGCCCCGGCACAGGCCGGCCTGAGGGCTTCATTCTCCCGCGTGCAGTTGGAGACCGACGCCCGCGGCAAGTCTCGTTTCGATTTCATGGCGTCATTTTCTGTCTTTCCAGCCCGTTTCGTCCGTCTTCAGCTCCACGTGCTGCACCACGGATTCCAGGCCTTGGAATAGCTTTCCTCCTTGACCAAGCTTTGCTTCCTAATTTCTGCTTGAGCGTCCTCACCATTTCTGCTGGAAACCTCCCTCAGTCAGCTTGCTTCTCGGAGTAGACTTTTCATCTTTCGGGCTTCCTAGCTCGTCTGCAGCGTCCACACGTGCCCGTTTCCCAGGGACTCTCCGGCAAGCCACCACGACTTGGGGTCTCTCGGCGTTCACGGGGGTGAGGGCTCAAGCGGTGTCAACTCCGTGCCTCAGGGCAACGCGTTGGCCGAGACCCTGGAGTTGCGGATCTGCCCCGCGGTGGACCGCAGACAGGTGTCGTCATCCTCCTCTTCCTCATCCGCAGGTGACCAGCCTTCCAAAAAAGGCTGCTGACAGTACAGACCACATGCCTGGGTTTGGGGGGCTGGGGATTTGTGGTCAAATCCCAGCGGGTGCCTAGAGGCTTCCTTTGGATAAACTCTGTTGGGGCCCCCATCTTCTTTGGACAGGCTGAGGTTCTTGGTTTTCAGAAACTGTTTTAAAAGAGAAGGGACTGGCCACTTCAAGACCCTCCAGTTTATCATCATCGTCGTCGTGGTCCTTGGGAATGACCAGGCTCTGGGCTTGGGAGGACATGGGCGCGCCTGGGAGGTGCCGGTACCTGACACCGCAGTGGGCCCTGGCCAGCAGCAGAGGCCCCACAGGGCCTGGCCGCCGCCACTCCTCTAAGCCTTCTCGGCTTATTTGTAAAGTCTGTCCTGCTGTTTAGAGTACAATGCAGACTTGCCTTATATTTACTGAATTTTCCCTATAAGAAAACCTCCTGAGGTTCCAGGGGATAATGATAAATTATCCACTGTTTTGAGGAAACATAATATGGTTTCTTACAACTACTAACTGCTTCTGTAGTTACTGCTCTTCTCTAAGAAACAGGCGAAAATGCTTGAATTTAAACATAAAACATCCCAAAGATAAGAAATGGTTGGAAAATTACAAATTTTAAAAAATGGATATTTGATCAAAAGGGGGCTGTTTGTCACAACTTTGGCAGAACACAAGTTGTTAACATTCCACTTATTTATTTATTTTGACAGGCAGAGTTAGACAGTGAGAGACAGACAGAAAGGTCTTCCTTTTCCGTTGGTTCACCCCTCAAATGGAAGCTACGGCCGGCGCGCTGCGCCGATCTGAAGCCAGGAGCCAGGTGCTTCTTCTGGTCTCCCATGCGGGTGCAGGGCCCAAGCACTTGGGCCATTCTCCACTGCCTTCCTGGGCCACAGCAGAGAGTTGGACTGGAAGAGGGGCAACCGGAACAGAATCCAGCGCTCCAACCGGGACTAGAGCCCCGGGTGCCGGCGCCACAGGCAAAGAGTTAGCCAAGTGAGACGCCATGCTGGCCAACATTCCACTTATTTTAAACTTGGATTGGTGCCGTCCTTTACTTCTGAAGTACCATCTGCCTTCAGTTTGCAGAAGTGCTAGTGATAATAGCATCACTCTATCCACATTCTATCACTTGGCCCTATTATGCTAATGATGTAATCTGTGCACAACTGGCAATCTGAGGCCCTGGCGAATAAGACCCCCTGCTAATAAACACACTTACCTAACAAGTTATATATTCATATTTCTAAAAACTGATACCTTTATAAAGACTGAAAAAAATACATCATGCCAATCTGCTGTTTTCTACTATATTTTCACAGGGTGCTGCATTTGAAATGATCAAAGTTTGATTTGGGTTCAGTACATGTTATGTACGATGAATTAAAAGCAACTCTTTCATGAGGAAGCCATAAAATAATACCCAAAGTTTGCAGATTGGGATGAACTATGATACCCAATGGATTCATATACACGTACAAGTCGTCAGACTGCAAACAGCCAAGAAGAAAGCATGGTGCTCTCCAAAGTTCCGATTCATCAGACTGGCGGACTGACTGCGGTCATTCTGAGAGTGTCACAGCTAATTCTGCATCCATCACCGCAGTAGTCTGCCACTCTGGCTGCATGTCAGAATCCCTTTGGGAGCTCTGAAACCATTCTGACCACATCCACAGTGAAAACAGTAACTCAGACAGTGGAACCCTGGAACCCAGGCATAAGTACTTTTTAAAACTGATACATTTGATTCCAAAAAACCTATAGTCAAGGGGTGTTAGATAAAAGTGTACTTCAAAAGTTCAAGGAAAATGTGCATTATCTGTTAATACCATTTTCCAAACTTTCTGAATTATGCCCATACACTCAAATGCATGTGACCCTATCTATGTGAATGACAGAATGATAGCTCCATAAATTAAGAAGCCCCAAAAAGGGAGGGTTGGAGGAGTTATGTCTTGTTTTGAGGAAGAAAAGGATAGGTGCATTCCTGTGTGCATATCTGCCTTTGGGGGTGCTGCCAAAGGAGGCCTGTTTTCATCTTTGCTCATCTCACTGGTTTTCTTCCTCTCTCTTCACATACATTCTGTAATTCTTTTCCCTTCTGTGTCTCCCTACATGTACCTCATCAGTGTGACTGATCCAAATGGGCACCACTGCCACCCCCGTGTTCATTACATCCATTACATTTCATTACATCCATCTGGCAAGAGCCTGCTATCACCTCCTTCTGATCACTCTTGATCTCTTTCTTGAGCATAACTCCTACAAGTCTGTAAGATTCACCCACTCGAGTATCTAAATGCTATCTTAAGCCCTGACCTCAAATAAACCAACTCAAAACAAAACAAAACCTATCAACTGTCCACACTGCAGTAGATATTTGGGGGTTTGACTGGGTTGTTGGCACAGACCTCCATCATTTCAAGCTGACCCCACTCCCTATGCCTACCCACATGCAGGCCCCCTGCAAACATCCTGTGCAGCCACTTCCCTCACCCCAACATCCATTAGCTGGTTATTATCACATAGCAAGCAGCTGCTTTATTCAAATTGTACACAATAGTTAATGATTAATACTCACACGTTTTTAGCTCACTACAAAAGCCATTCAAGACTTACCTTTAAGTTCATAGGCATTTCCACTTTCAGTCCTCCCTAAAGATGACAAGATATTTTAATATTAGGTATATAAATATTTGAAAGTAAGTGACATAGGTAGGTTATATTAAAATCTGACTAGTGAAGATTAAATACCAAATTTAAATTGTGGTAAATTTTAAATTCTAACAGAACTACAACTCAAAACCAAGCCAGGCTGTTCTACCTTGGTGTATATGGGGCAAGCCATCTTAAAAGGATGCCCGGAAGATTAGAGCTACTACAAGGAAGGAAATCAGGCTTCGGGCCTTCAGCACAGGTGACCAGTTAATGTAGTCCTGCTGCACAGTGTCTGAAGAACCGAACTGCAAGCTGATTTAGAAATCTCACGGGGCACAGTACTCTTCTGAGTCATTTCAGTGGTCTTTCCTACAGTTACCTGGGCCTTCTAAATTACAGCAATGAGCTAACCCCACTTCTCCTCTCCACACTTTTTAATCACACTTGATGTCTTTGTGATTTCACAGTTGTACTGAATTAAAAAAGAAACCTATTCCTTACCAAAAAATCTGAATTCTATTAGTTTTCTTCTTCCAAATGCCATTCAGGGCCGGTGCCGCGGCTCACTAGGCTAATCCTCCGCATTGTGGCGTCAGCACACCGGGTTCTAGTCCCGGTCGGGGCGCCGGATTCTGTCCCGGTTGCCCCTCTTCCAGGCCAGCACTCTGCTGCGGCCAGGGAGTGCAGTGGAGGATGGCCCAAGTCCTTGGGCCCTGCACCCCATGGGAGACCAGGAGAAGCACCTGGCTCCTGCCATTGGATCAGCGCGGTGCGCCGGCCGCAGCGCGCCGGCCGTGGTGGCCATTGGAGGGTGAACTAACAGCAAAAGGAAGACCTTTCTCTCTCTCTGTCTCTCTCTCTCACTGTCCACTCTGCCTGTCAAAAAAATAAATAAAAAACAAAACAAAACAAATGCCATTCAACAGGATCATGTTTCTTAAAACTTCTTAGTTTTTCCTGCTATTTCTTTAAAGGCATAGGACAATCAAAAGTGATTTTGACAGAGCCAACATTTAGTTGAACAGTTCGCCACTAAAAATGCTTGCAACAACAATAAAACTACTGCAGGCACTTTTTATCTTTAGGGAAGTAAATATTGATGGGACTGTCCATTCATTATTAAGGCTGAGCTTGCCATTCATTACTGTTGTGGAAAAGTATAACTTACTACATTTAATTTTCTAATAAGCATCAACAAAACAAATTTAGAACTTCATGAAATATTCAGAATTTTCAGAATAATGCTTGTAAGGAAACTGCCATGTACAGTAATTAATTTGGCCAAGTAAATTCAGAAATGTATCACATGTATTCTCTGTAATATAAAGAAACAAAATTATACAGTTTACCAATCAGATTGCTCACATATTCATGTCTGGAGATGGGGATGAATGAGCAATTGTCACAGTGATTTAATTGTGGAGTCATGAGTTCTTTAGAAAGGGAAGAATGCTGCTTCTTTTTTTTTTTTTTAAATCTTCTTACCATTTGAAGAGGTTGCAGTGACTTCGTTTCTGTTGCAGAAATCTCAAAGAGCCCATGGTCTTCCTCCAGAACTGTAGCTTGCCCCTTAAAATTAACATCTGGGTAGGCAAGCCAACTAAATATGAAAAAAAAGGTCATTTAAAAATATAATAACATTTTAGTCTGGCTCAGTAAGCAAAAGACATTTAGATTCTCTATCACAGACTGACACTAGTACAACACAAAGTGATTAACCAGATAGCACACCAAAACAACACTGAACATGTTACTAGGTATTTACATTGATACACTATCCATAATAAGTCTAATACATTTGCCAAGTGCCAGGCATTAGTTTTCCTATAATTTTTCTAACACCTAAAACATGTGGAATCTTTAATTCATGTAACTGGCAACTCAAAACCATTCTAACACATTCCACTGTTTTTTTAAACTGGGGCAATTAGAGTGGGGATCCACTAGGCATTTTACATTTTGACCCAGATTTTTAGAATTGATGTCAGTTCTACCAGTTGCTTCAGGAACAGTATTTTAAATAAGATTCCCAAAAGACCCATCTATCTTCTAGCCAAGCTGGATAATTACAGACATTTCCCATGGATGGGGCAATTACCAGGTCTACAAGAGTTCTAATTCACAGTTGGAGGAGACACAGACACATGCTCCCCCCCATCATTGGAGCAGATAAAAACAGTGCAAGGGAGAAGTCCATGCTGAGCCAGGCATCCATAGGCATTTCTGAGATGAGACAATCCAGGGTTGAACTTAGAACTATGGTCCTACAGATGCCTTTGGAACCAGAGAAGCCTAGTATCAAATGTATGCTTAACAGCAGGTACTCTCATCATTATTATCAAGAGTACAGCATCAGCCGGTGCAGCAGCTCACTAGGCTAATCCTCTGCCTGCGGCGCTGGCACACCGGGTTCTAGTTCTGGTTAGAGCGCTGGATTCTGTTCCGGTTGCCCCTCTTCCAGTCCAGCTCTCTGCTGTGGCCCAGGAGTGCAGCGGAGGATGGCCCAAGTGCTTGGGCCCTGTACCCGCATGGGAGACCAGGAGAAGCACCTGGCTCCTGGCTTTGGATCAGTGCAACGCTGGCCGTGGCAGCCATTTGGGGAATGAACCAACGGAAAAGGAAGACCTTTCTCTCTATCTCTCACTGTCTAACTCTGCCTATAAAAGAAAAATTACAACATCACCTGCTTATTAAAACAGAGGAATAATAACCAAAAGATAAGTGACATATGGCTAGCACAGCAGAGGAATTCAGTAATTATTAGCACTTAGGCATCCTGGAAGGAGTTCAGGGTCCAGGATTCCAGGTCAGGTATGGTTTTTGTTTGTTAATTCCAAAGTTCTAGGAGTGAAGAGACAGTGGATCCATCTATTAAGAAAGCCATCTGAGAATTTTATAGCTACTCCTGTGAGTCATGTATCAAAGCCTTAACTCGATCCAAAGACAGACAGAATCTGTTTTAATTCCTACAGTTGTCTTTCTTGGATATACAGGCGTATAAACAAAATTAATAGGCTAAAACTTCAGAAATATGCCTGTTGCCTATTGATTTATGAAAATAAAGCTACCGTTGTTGGTCATCAATCACCACAGCAAAGCAAAACTGATACATACACTCCTGACTTCACAGTGAAGGACACAGACTTGGGGATATTCAGTTCTTCCAAATTGGGCACAGCTCGCTGGATGAAGACAGGACAACATGCTGGGTCAGACTGTGGGCAAAGTTCTATCTCTGGAATGCTGCAATCCTGGAAAAAAAAAAAAAACACAAGTAATTTGGCTTTTAAGTTCTCAGGAGACACACAGTCCAGTATCAATGCCCTGGATACCCAGTCATAATTATTCTCCTTGTTAACTTTCTTCACAAAAAAAAAAAAAAAAAGTTGGGGAAAGGCATTGTTTCAATTTCTATCTATTTTAAAATAAGCTTTTCTAAGGTGATATGCTAATAACATGAAAATTATAAACGTTATGGATGGGAAAATTATTCTACAGATTTTTTTTTACACTTTTTTAAGAACTTACACCATGAAGTAGTATTCAGAGTTAACAAACTATTTGAGTGCCAAATGTCTGTAAGTCTTCCTTCTTCGAAGCATAACAAAGCCAAAAAGGAGGAAGGGAGTTAAATAAAAGCTGATCTCATGGGGAACATTAAAAAATAAATAATGGAGAGGCACTACCCCTTCAGTGTGTTTATTTAATTTACATTGACAAAAGAAGTAGGAATCAGAGGTGAGGGTCAAGGAAATCCGTTTTCCTACTTGTGGGACTCTATTTTCTTCAGTGCAAGTTGTTTTGAAGAAAGGCATTGTGAAATATGACCCTGCGCTCTGTAATGGGTCTTTAAAAATTATGGACCCACTGTCACCATGTCCTGTCAAGCTTCACCTTATGATTTCACTTGTGTGTCACTCACTTCTTCCCACCATCATGGCCATGGTGAAGCCCAGACCATGGACCAAGTCACAGCCACAAGTCAAGCACTAGTTGCTCTTTCTACAACTAAACCAGTTATAATTTCCCCTTGACACTCCTGGCTTCAAGACCCATCTGCACCACATTCACATGTCTGCCTTATAACACAGCACCATGCTGGTGAGCTACTCGAAGTCCCCACATCTCTACAGCCAGGCCAGACTCTAAGCGGTCTCCACCTCTATTTTGGCCTTGCAGCTTTGTTGATGTTTCTCCAATCTCAACAAGTGGGATAATTTTCTATATTCTTTATCACTCGAAAATCTCTTATAATAGCCAGGTTCTAGCTTTAGAAAGATTTTATCCTTTCTTAGATAAGAATCAAAGCCACAAATTTTCCCCCTTCTTTGAAATTACAGATATGCTTCTGTCTGAAAACACAATCTATGTTAGCACTCAGAAGTATCTAATTGCATAATGCTCACCTACCTATAACACTGTGAAATTCAAATTAATATGCCTTAATAAAATAGGTAAATGCAATGACAATCAGAGATGGCACTTTTTAGAGATTGAACATATAATTTTTTAAGTTTTTAAGTTTTAAAAACATAACCTGATCTTTCAGCCTTTTTTTAAACTAAGTTCTCAAGCACTGTTATCAATATGTAAAAGTTTATGTCTCATTTCCAGAGAATTAGTTCTAAAATGCAATGTACTATGATGTGTAACCTAGAATTTTCCATGGAATAAAAAAGCATATTTCCTTTTACAGTTTCATTTCAGAACTATCCAGAATGTCCAGAACAGTCACCAGTCAATCTTCAAGGCTCTTTAGTACGCTACTTATAATAGAAATCTAGTGTCATGATTTCCACTAACACCCTATGAATGTTCCCCTAGGGACCTGAGGTAGAGAGTAACAGAATACATAACCAAGTGTCTCACACAAACAAGTTTCCTCTGCATTGTGTTATACAAACAATGTTTGGGTGGTGTACTTTCAAAGAGAAAAAGCTTAGAGGCATTCAGGAGTCAACAACACAGAAGGGAAAAGCCTAACAACAAAAACACGATGACAGTGTGGAAAAATGAAAACAGACAAAGATAAGAAGGCACAGGTTCTCATCTATCTTTACTAGAAGTAGACTGAAAAATATTTCATGGGGAAGTTTTGTTCTTTTCATGGGAGAATCTTTGGGAGGACTTGGACAATTCTCCATGGACCAAGGTAGTCAACATGAGCAACTAGTGGACACCTTGCAGTAACCTAGCAGTTCACTCTAAGACTTTTTTTTTTTGGAGAGGCAGAGTGGACAGTGAGAGAGAGAGACAGAGAGAAAGGTCTTCCTTTTCTGTTTGTTCACCCCCGCAATGGCCACTGTGGCTGGCGTGCTGCACTGATCTGAAGCCAGGAGCCAGGTGCTTCCCCTGGTCTCCCATGCGGGTGCAGAGCCCAAGCACTTGGGCCATCCTCCACTGCACTTCCGGGCCACAGCAGAGAGCTGGCCTGGAAGAGAGGCAACCGGGACAGAATCCGGCGCCCCGACCAGGATTAGAACCCGGTGTGCCGGAGCCGCAAGGCAGAGAATTAGCCTAGTGAGCTGCGGCGCCAGCCTCTAAGACTTCTTAAGTTCACGTATGACTCCTCCCCAGACCTTTCTAGTCATGTTGTACTTTACAAACAAATCTTGCTTAAACTTGTAGGCTTATACTATAAAGATAATTCAAAAACACTTATGGAAAATTGAACTAAAAGTTGATTTTGGGGTCCAGCACTGTGGTGTAGCAGGTAAAGCCACTGCCTGCAGTGCCGGCATCCCGTATGGGTACCGCTTTGAGACCCAGCTGCTCCACTTCTGATCCAGCTCTCTGCTATGGCCTGGAAGAGCAGCAGAGGTTGGCCCAAGTGCTTGGGCCCCTGCATCCACATAGGAAGACCCAGAGGAAGCTCCTGGCTTCAGATCTGTGCAGCTCTGGCTATTGCAGCCAATTGGGGAGTGAACCAATGGATAGAAGACCTCTCTCTATTTGCCTCTCCTTCTCTCTCTGAGTAACTCTTTCAAATAAATAAATAAATCTTTTTTAAAAAAGTTGATTTTGTACAAAATTTATGAAATCCAGGCATAGCTGTTTTATAATACAAATTTTCATGAGCTTTTTGAAGACTCTTGGTATGCATGGATTATAAAATCTTTTGGCACAGAAGTAATCTTAACTTCATTTTCCATAATTTTTTTGAAGTATCCCACATTACAGTATTAGCAGGAATATGGGAGGGGAAACAGGGTAGAAATAAATTACACTTAACAAAAACAGAAGGAAAATATATTTTTTTCCACCTTACTTAAGACACCTCCAGGCTGTGATCTAACAACAGATCTCTCTCTTGGTTCATTAGTGAAGGCCGAAAGAAAAATGTCATATCCTTAAAAAAATGCTAAGTATACAGGAAACACAGTAATTTGCCATACTCATTTATTCTAATTAGAGAAAAAATTAATGGCACTGCCAACCCCACCCCCAATTAATTCCACTGGAAGCAAAGATGACACCTAAGTAGAATCTGTAACTGTTGATGACTGATGGTAACTGTAATACCCTTCACAGCAAAGCAAAGCCGCTGTGAAAATATAATCCTTAAAGGACATTAAAGTTTTATTTATTTGTTTTAACTTGAGAGGTAGAGAAAGAGGGAAGAGGAAGGGAACTCCCAAAGGCTGGTTCACTCCACAAATGTCTACAGTGACTGGGGCCTGGGAACTCAAATCAGGTCTCCCACTTAAGTTGCAGGGCTCCAACAATTACAGCCATCACCTCCTGCCACTGAGGGTCTGCATTACTAGGTAGCTAGAGTCAGAAGTGTGACCCAGATCCTTCAATATGGTGCATGGTCTTACCATTAAGCCAAATGTCTATTCGTGACATTAAAGTTTTGACTACCCAAATGTGTGCAACTATAAGTTGATGAAACAAGATAAAGTTGACAAAGGCCTCTGCATCTGTCATGGCAACAACTGCCATGAAAATGAAACTATCAATAGGCAGAAGTTTGAAAAGGTTGGAAAAAGGAAGCAGTTTGTTGCTTGATCATTACTATTTAGAACAATGCTAATGACTTTTCCATTCAATGCTCAATAGCTTTATTTTCCTTCCTCACTAAAAATTACTACCTGTTTAATACATGTGGGCATTAACACTTCAAGCAAAAAAAAAAAAAAAGACTCTTAAAACAAGGGAAGTTTAAAAAATGCAAGCATGACTTATTCTTTATTATATTCTAAGCAAATAATGGACATGCAAATATCCATTCAAATACCCATGCTCACCAGACTGAATTTGTTTCATTGTTGTTTGATTTTTAGGGGGTTGAGGAAGTGGTTGTTTGCTGTATCTTATTTATTCCTCCCCAGCCTCCACTAGTGGGCCTGGTATGGTGCCTAATATTCACAAGAAAGGCACAAAACCCCAAGTTACATAAATCTTAGAAAAGTCCACCTACAAACTAACTACTCATTTCAAGGAATTTCTAGTATGTTATTTAGGGGAACATGCAAATGTTATTTGCAGAATGGCACAGGTCACAACTCAGTCTTTCAATAAAAATGGCTACTTTAAAAATCTGAAATCTCCTTGTAGTGCCAAGGTCATCTCTGTATTTGACAGAATTGGCTCACTCAGGAGCTCCCTCACATGTCCCACACTGCCAAATTCAAGTTCACCCTTTCAGGATACTAATCAGGTACATCTTCCCAAGAGGCGAAGCACCCCTTGTGTGCCTACTGCACAGAGCACTTTTCACATCATATGGTCATTGACTCAGCTGTCTCTTACTTTAAGTAGCAATAAGGGGCCACATCTCACCCGCATTTTCTATTCCCACTGCCCACCACAGTATGGAGTCCAGAAACAAATGCAAACATTTGGTAAATATATGTTTGTGTATAGTTTTGCAAGAAGTATTGACTCACAAAATACATGCAGAGGTCTCTTTATAACTTGAATTTTCTTGTATTCTCTTAACGTTTTATATAGGATATTTCTAACTATCAAGAATTTCAATAGCATTGATCCTAATCATAATAGGGTTTGCCTCAATTCACAGATTCTAAGTACATAGGTTTCAATAACGTGAAAAAAAAATCCATTAACTGTCACATGTGTACCTATACTCCCACATGAAAAAAATCTTAATAATGAGACAATTCTGTCCTTATCTGAGATCTGTCCTAATCACTCTCACCCCTCTTCTAAATCATCACAGAACTTCTTACACAATGTTTTATTATTGTAAATCTTCCTCATCTTAGCATTGCATAGTATTTGCTAAACAGAAAATAAAGACAACACCTTCCTCTTTCCAATTCAAAAAATTTTTTGCACCAAAATAAACTTATCTTTTAATTCCATTTTCTATGACCCTTAAGAAGATTCCTAGTATAGGGTGTGGTACTGTCTAGGGTTTTGGAAATCTTTGAGTCTTGGAATGTATCTCCCTGAAGATAAGGAGAAACTACTGACAAACTACACTAGAGGAAGATAATTTGGAAATATTGGCTCTTTTCCTAAACATATAGATAGCGTTTTCTCAATTGTGTGTGCGTATGTGTGTGCATATATATCGATCTATCTATCTACCTATCTACATATATAGATATAGACATAGATATATAGATATATATATGGGCCAGTGCTGTCTATCTATATAGATAGAAAGATACGTAGATATGGGCTGGTGCTGTGGCGTAGCAAGTAAAACCACCATCTACAGTGCTGGCATCCCATATGAGACCCTACTGCTCTACTTCCTATCCAGTTCTCTGCTATAGCCTGGGAAAGCAGCAGAAGGTGGCTCAAGTCTTTGGGCTCCTGTACCGGCGAGGGAGACCCAGAGGAGGCTCCTGCTCCTGGCTTCAGATTGGCCCAGCTCCAGCTGTTGCAGCCATTTGAGGAGTGAACCAGTGGATGAAAGATCTCTCTCTCTCTGCTTCTGCCTCTGCCTCTCTGAAACTCCACCTTTCAAATAAATAAATCTTTAAAATATATATATATATATAATTTGATAGGCCAGTCTACAGTAAATATTTTAAAGTATTATTTACTCCAACACTTTATATATATAAATTCAAAAGATTATCAAAACATTAATGAATAAAGTCAATAAAATAGTAGCAAGCATTTCAAAACATTGCTAGGCCATAGCACAACATGAAAAAAACAAATAACAACTCTGGAGAAATCTACAGTTTGTTACCTTTAAGACACGCTTGATAGAACCCAATACAAAGTTTCTTTGTGGGTGTTTTCTGTTCTGAAGAATCCAGTCATGATTTAATACCTTTTCACCTTCTTCTAACACACATTTCTGACCTTGGAAATGTGGTTTCTCATACAAAATCCAGCTAGACAAATAAAAGTGCAATGATCAGTGATAATTTTTTTAAGAAATGAAACATAAAATAGAAAGTCACAGACCATTTCATCTACTTAAATGTTTTAAGCTGGGCTATCTTCCATTATTAGCATACGGTCCTAATTTTCAAACAATGACATAGGCTAATTAAAGTAATGAAAATAGTCTAAGAATAAAAATACATACAACTGGGAAATAAAAATACTTTTACAATGTTAAGTTTATGTCTCTATGAATGCATTTATTTAATAGATGTATATACAAAGCTATACATCTGTATTAAAAATAATAGTTTAATAATTCCAAATTAAACTTTTACCATAATGTTCCTGCTGCTGGATGATACAGAACACATGTCCTGGTTTATGATATGTTGACAACACCACAGCCTACTGCTTACTACATGAAACTGACTGGGTTGGTAACCCAAACACTAGACAAAGAAACTCTGCCTCCAGCATGCCCATGAGACATGGTCCACAGTAACTAATGAGATTCTCCCTCCTGTTTAGACCATACAAAGAATCCTTCATTTCTTGAGCACGTCTGCTATACACATGACTTGAACTGTGTGGGCCCCACATTCCTTAGCATCCCACAGATTCTGAACTCATTTTCAAAGCTATGCTTCGTTCATCTGAAGCATTTAGTATTCAACTCAACTTGCAGATCCTACACTGCCAACAGTGCAGTTATAAGACAGCAGTGATTATACCGATTGTATGTGTTAGGTCTTGTGGCTGACAGGTTTAAGCACTGAAAACAGCCTATATTTTCTGCCATAGTAAGAGAACATGTTATAATGCTCTATTTCAAAAATCTCAAAAAACCAGAGGAAAGGTGTTTATGCTTTAATAAAAAATGCAAACAGCATAAACAGTAAGAAGACACAATTTCAGAAAACATGTTGTAAAATTTGGAGAGATTACTTACCAGCCTCTTATAACTTTTATCAATACTCCATTTGGAAAGGACCATGATGTAGCATCAGGAATATTACAGTAGACCTCTTGTTTATATCTACTTCCATGGAGATCATAAATAACCATCTAGAGCACGCAGGAAGGAACCACAAAAACTCATTTTAAAAATGCATTTACTGGGGCTGGTACTGTGGTGTAGTGGGGTAAAGCTGCAGCCTGCAGTGCTGCCATCCCATATGTGTGCCAGTTTGAGTTCTGGCTGCTCCATTTCTGATCCAGCTCCCTGCTATGGCCTGAAAAAGCAGTAGAATATGCCCAATTCCTTGGGCCCCTGCATCTGCATGGGAGATCTGAAGGAAGCTTCTGGCTCCTTGCTTCAGAATGGCCCAGCTCCAGCCACCTGGGGAGTGAACCAGCAGATGGAAAACCTCTCTCTCTCTCATTCTCTCTCTCTCTAACTCTGCCTTTTGAACAATTAATCTGTTTAAAAACATATCTATGGTTGTAAAATGTCCTAAAATATAGAAAATATAATATTCTAAACACATTAAGAGCAAATAGAGGTTGAGCATCCCTAATCTAAAAACTGAACCAGACTCTTAGACCTTTAGACACAAAAATTGAAAAATTGTTAAGTTATTTATTTGGAAGTCAGAAGTTAGAGAGAGATTTTCCATCTGCTGGTTCACTCTCCAAATGGCCATAACAGCTAGGGCTGAGCCAGACTGAACCAGGAGCCAACAGCTTCTTCTGGGTCTCCCACATGGGTGCAGGGTCCCCAGCACTTGGGTCACCTTCCACTGCTTTCCCAGGCCATTAGTAGGGAGCTGGATCAGAGGTGGAGCAGCCAGGGCTCAAACAGAGCCCAAATGCGATGCCAGCATCTCAGCCAGCAGCTTTGCACACTATGTCACAATGTTGGTCTCAAAAGTTGAAAATTTCACACCTGGCCTCCTGATATGTCACAGGCTAAACAGACATCAAAAGCATTGCATAAAATGACCTTCAGACTACATATATATATTAGGTGTATGTGAAACACAAGAATTTTCTGTTTAAGCATGGGTCCCTTCTCCGGATAATCTCATTATAAATTTGGAAATACTTCAAAATCTGAAAGAAAAAAAATAAGAATTTGGAACACTTCTGCTCCCAAGTATTCCCAATAAGGGATATTCGACTCATTTTATTTTAGATGTTAAGTCCTTCAGTAAAATTATCATCTTGTAACTAACTAATCTGAAAAGTAATCGTATTTGTCACCTTGTATCTTAGTTTGCCTAAGAAAGTCAGGCTTACCTTCCCAGGTCTTGGGTTACATCTCAGAATTTGTTTGTCAACATTCTGAAATATAAACATGGAAGAAATGGGTCTTCACAGTGGAAATTCATACAGTTCACATTCTTAGTAGTCTTAAATCCAATTTATCACATATTTACGTAGGGGATGTACTTGAGCAAAGTCTTTCCTTAGAAATGTGGAAGAAAAAAGTAAATATATGGGAAAGTAATGTGTGTCTCTGCCCTCAGAAAGTGCATAGATCAGAAGGGGGAAGTGGATGATTACATGGGAATTACTCTTCTAAGCTGAAACTAAGTTAGATACACAGGTTAGATACAAAGAAAACACCAGGTTATGGAAACAGAACCACCATGGAGGCGAGGAGATAGTGCAAGGAGGCTTTTAGGCAGAAGTGATATTGAGAGGATCTTCAAAAGCCAGGAGTCCTTTAAAAACATTTTTTTTAAATTTACACTAATTGTACATATTTATGGGCTACAGTGTGACATTTTAATACATGCATACAACTTGTACTGACCAAAACATAATAATCAACATTTCCTCTTCTATGAAATACTTCAAGACTGGAGGCTTGGAGCATCTTTCTTCTGTTTGTTCATACAATATATACTAAGCTATTATGAATTATGGTTACCCAACTATGATGTGTAACACTAGAAACTTATTCCACCTATCTAATTCTGATTTGGTACCCATCAATAAGTGAAAAAAATGTGGGAGGTTGGGGTGGGGATTGCAGAAAAAAGAATTACTGGAAAATAATTTCGAGAAAAAGAGCAGTGGTAGAAAATGGGGTGTTTATCCAGAGCTTTGGGGAGACAAAGCTGGACAAAACAGAATTTAGGAACTTTAAAATACACAGTGAAGAGGTTCAGCTTGATTTAGTAGGTAACGGGGAACCATGAAAAAAACACTTTGTAAAATCCCATCATTTCTTGCAAGGCACTGGTTAGTATTCAAATATTACTATTTGCTACTTGGGCCATTCAAGGTCAAGAAAATTCCCTGAGTTGGGGAATTTCAGAAAGGCAAGTGTCCCATGTTCAAAGAATATCCCACATTAGACACTGAAATATTTCTAAGTCAAAGAAAAATGTAATTGAATTTCAAAATATGTTTTCAGTGTTTTTCAGCTCTTAGGCTTTTTACTGCCCTGCTCTGTATGAATAACAACATAAATAACTACAGCAAGAAGCTTTCAAACAAATCCTTCTAAATTATACCCAACAGAAATATTTTCTTGAGACACATAAACTAATGCAAAGTGATAATTTCTCCACAGACAGCACCTTGAGAAATTCAGAATGCTGTTAATTTAATTAGAAAATACATTGTCAACGAACTGTAAAGTAACTTGCTTCTCTTTTATATCTTTTAAATTCTAAGCAATTTTGTTTTCTCAATTTAATAGTCCAACTAAAAATATTGGAATTATGATATACTCCAAAGAATAAATCTTGGTTATTTTTTAAAAACAAAATTTGACACAATTTAAAAATAACTGATTTCTTAATAAGCTTTTAGATAATTTCATAACCCAAAGCTTTACTTAATTAGTTAAAAATCAAAATAACTTACCTCAATGTATGGGTTCAATCTGCCTGAGGGGTCTTGAACACAGAAATATTTTGACACTGGTTCCTGAAATATCCCACCAAATCTGGCTCCTTTTTCTGCGGAGTGAGTTCTGGAAGCCTGCAAATACTGATGATAAGCACTCTTTAAAGAAGAGTGTAGCTTAGAAGTAAGGTCAGATTTTTGTAGAAATGAAGTCTTTTCTGGCCACAAACCAATTTGCAGATTGGAGGTAGTAGGTTCATTCGACAACACATATGAATTCTTAGAAATTGTGGTGCTTTCCTGGTCATCATCAGGGTAGAATGTGATGGAAGGATCTGGTAACTCCAAGGTAATGTGCTCCCTCCTTTGAGCTCTCAGACTTCCTGAATGCAATGTTTCCTCCTCCTCCTCCTCCTCCTCCTCCTCCTCCATCCCACCCTCCTCCTCTTCCTCCACTGGCTGTCGGTCATCTTCATCAAAATTCATCTTCAAGCGCTCTGACACTGACTGGAGAAGTGATAATACAGACGAGGACTGGTTTGCACTCTCTCTTGATTTTGTGGAGCCATGGTGACCAGGTGAGACCTCACTAGACAAGATTTCCTCCTGGGAGCTGTCATCCTCGTAAATGGGTGACAAAGCTAAAGGGTAAATTTTGTATCTTTTGGCCTCCACTGCTAAGAACACTTCTGAACTATCACTATCAAATGTCTCACTCGATTTAGTATCTTTCTCAAAATGATGGACAAGGTCAGTTCTGCTCTCGGACCTTTCGCATGCCAACATGGGTACACTGTCAGGTGACACATCAGGAAACAAGACAGACTGTGTTCTTACTTCTGCACAAGCGTACCTGTCTTCGTCCTGAAGGGGCTCATCATATAATATAGTAAAGGAAGAATTTTCTTGCTCATCCTGAGAAACAAAGGCTAAATTCGATTCTTCTTTGCCATCGCTGTAATCCAGATCTCTCCTGTTGTCATATATTACAGTAACAGACATTCTTTGGTCTAGCCTCACTATGTTATCTTCAGGTTGAAAACCTGGCACAGCTAAGGCAGGATAGCCCTCATAATCCCTACTGAGGGTAGGTGATTCATAGCCCCTGAAATGTGAAGCAACTCTGTTGTCATGTACTATGAAACCTTCCTTTACTTCAACGGGCTCTTCTTCCACTTCTCTAACACTCTCTTCAGCATATATTTGGTTTTTTTTTTCAATTTCAAATATAGCCGGCATGGCTTCCATTTGTGGAACTGTCAATTCCAGCCCTGTTCCAAATGTTTTCTCAGTATCTACAACTGTGGAAAACACTTCACGTTCCCCAGTGTTTCCACCAGAATCTTCTGGGGACAGTCTTTCCATCTGCATCATGGAGGGCACGGATGTACCTGTTCTAGGAGTCTCCTCAGCACCCCTTCTGCATGCCGTTTCCATTTCTAGGCCAGCAGGTGTTGCCTCCTTGTGTGCCTCTCTCACTTCTAACACAAAAGGTACTGTTTCAACATTCCTACTCTTCTCTTCAGCTTCCTTTTGGTAAACGGTTTCCATTTCCAAAATAGGTTGCTCCGTCTTTCCAGTCATCCCTTCGGCGTCTTTGTGGTAAATATTCACGACTTCTAACATGATGGGTCTCGTCTCAGTTTTATCACTACTTCTTTCCACATCCTTTGCATGGATACTTTCCATTTCCAATCCAACAGCTCTCACTTCAGTCCTTGCCAATTCCCCTTCCTCATCCTTTTGGCAAATGCCTCCCATTTCTAACGCAACAGGTGCCACTTTGGCCTTCTCGGTAGTCCCTACAACGTCTTTTTGGCAGTTGTTTTCCACTTCTAGCATAACAGACGTCACCCCAGTCTTGCCTATGTCTCCTTCAGCACGCTTCTGGCAAATGCTTTCCATTTCTAGTGTAACAGGTATCACCTCAGCCTTTGCAATGTCCCCTTCAGCATCCTTTTGGTGGACATTTTTCACTTCTGACAGAACATGCATCGCCTCTGTTTTGCCAATATCCCCTTCAGGATCCCCCATCCTACAGGCTTTTTCCATTCCTAAGGAGACAGGTACTCCCTCTGTTTTGTCAATATACCTTTCAGCATCCATCTGGTATACCTCTCCCATTTTAAAACCACCACCGCTGGGTTCAATTTTTGTGACTGTCAAGTCAGTGTCTGTTTTACATTCTCTTCCCATTTCTAACATAGGAGGAACGGCCCCATATTTCATAATATCCAATTTGGCATCTTTTTTGTTAGTTTTTCCTATTTCTAACATGGAAGGTACAAGCTTGAGATTTCCTATACTGACTTCATTATCCTTTTTGTGTACTTTCCCTATTTCTGACATTATAAGGGGTGTGCCTTTACTATGTCCTGGCAAGGTTTTTTCAGATACACACACAAGACTATCAGATAAACTGCCTTTTGAGGTACCAGGTGTGTGGATGTCATCATTTAGCAATGGGGGCCACTCGAAATTTAATACAAGAGTTCTTCTATCTTCTGTCCCAGTTTTATGATCATCCCCACACTCTATTTCTGCTGTCTTACAGTCCTCATTGAGCAGCAAATCTGTTTCTTCCCCATCACCTAACCTTTTATGAGGCGTGTCCTCAGGTGGTAAAACCGTAACCGATCTCTGCAAATTTATACTGTCAGACTGTCCAGCTCCATTTCCAGAAAACGGAGATTCTTGGTAGGGAACAATTTCTCTTCCTTTAATTGACTCTGTGCCACTAACTAAATTACTCACAGAAAAGAATCTACTTAATAATTTATTTTCACTAATTTCATGTGTGCTTTGATTTACTGCCTGTCCTGATACTGAGGACTCCCTAATTGTATCATGTGGCTTAACACTTCCACTGTTCAGAATTTTTGAAGCATCAGCCTGAAGTTCAGAACCCCAGGTAGACTCAGCATCCTCAAAAGCATCATTTGTCAAATTTTTGTGGACTGAACAAATAACCTCATTGACTAATTCCCTAGCTTTATCTTCTAACAAACAAGACACATCCATTCTATCTGAACCACGAAGGAGACTCCCCTCACCAGCTGTAGGTGAGACACAGGCTGCCTCTTCTTCCTTGACTTCCGACATGATTTCCACGTCCTGTTCTTCCACACACTCTGTCGGATGCACCCCTGCTGAGGGGTTTTTCTCAGGGATGTCTTCTCTCAGCGTGCCTGTACTCATTATGTCCTGTATGGCTATATGCTCTTGGCAGGATCTGGATTTTAGCTCCTCCCTGACAGAACTAAAAATCTCACCAATCAGTGTATCAGCCTTTTTGAGGAAACCACTCTTGAGGCCCAGAAGTCGGTCATGTGCTCTTCTCCTTGCTTCTATGTGCTCAGCAGAGGCTTCAGAACACTGCTGGCTTGAGCTGTTAACTGACGCTGGAGCCCCAGCAACTGCTCCAGGCTCTGCGTCCACGGGACCTTCCAACTGGGCCGTAGTTGAGCAATCAAGAGCTACTCTCCCAGTACAAACCCCCAAATGTTCCTGAAGTGGAGTCCCTACTGCCTCTGTTGGGACAGGTGTTTCAAATTCCAGATAGGCGCTGTTAGGGTACGGCAGGTCAGTTAAGGGAGCACTTTCACATGTGAGGTCTCTGGTAACTTTCCCAGAATCAAAATGATCCTGAGGATTATGTGACCTTGTAACCTCACTAACTCCATCAGGGTGACCAGAGGAAGACGACACACTGTGGATAGCTCCAGTCAGAAAATGAGTGTTCTCTTTCTTTTCTGACCTCAGGACAGAAGGTGCATTGGGAAGACTCGAATCTCCACATGCAAAAATGTTTTTTTCCAAACTGACATCAGAACCTAGAAAAGGCAAATTTACTTTTGTGCTATCAGTTTCTTGGAATTTGGGGGAAACATTATTTGAGCTGAGTTCTGCTATTTCTGAGGGACCAGAAGTCGTTTTATTCCCACAGATACCCGAAGAATGATGACTCGCACAAGTGTCTGCTTCATGATTCTGTGCCATTGGCCCACTGGCTTGCTCCTGTCGTACAGGATAAGCCAAGGAGTCTTGCTCTGTGTCTTGTACACTTTGACATTTGGAAGCAGAAGGAGAATCCTCAGCTTGACCATTAGGGACAGCATCTGAGCATTTCTCTTTAATCTTAGGATCCACTGATTGAAGATTTTTGCCCTCTTCAACCTCTGGAGCAGTTAATTCTGATAAAACAGGCTTTGCCGGCAAATCTGTAACTTCAAATGGAAAAGAAGAAAGTTTATCCTGAGAAACGTCTCTGGGCTCTACTTGGGAAACAGGTATCTCAGACAAGGCTACAGTTTTCCATCTTCCAGAATGTGACTCAAGAGGAACAGCGTTCTGTTCATGACCTTCAGCTGTCGATAAAACTACGGAAATATTACCATTTTTGGTTTCCAAGGAATTAGAGGTCTCTATTATGCTTTTACTTGCTTTAGTGTTTGAAGGCATTGGTTCTGCTTTCTCAGGGCCTTTAGATGAAAAGGAAATGGGGTCCTCAGAGAGGCTCCGAGACTCGGGGCTCAATGAATTCTCCTCAAATAAGCGAGTGTCACTGGCTTCGAGACCCAGAGGAAGCTTGCTTGTTTCACTATCATGAAGAACTTCCTTGGATTCCAGAACTGCAGGCGCACGGTCAAGGTGAACAGAACTTTTCCTGTCTGCAACCTCCACACGATTTGCCACATTTTCTTCCTGACACTTACTGGGCCGACAGGAAATACCAATGATGTCGACACCTCCAGTTTCAGTGTGCACAGAGTTCTCATTCTTTAAAGCAGGAACAGCCAACGCGTTCAGCACATCAGCTTCAGAAACAAAGGTAGGGGGTGAAGTGCTGACATTTACTTTTTCACAGTCGAGGATAACAGATGTTTTAGCATCAGGTGATACTTTTGTTTGTTGAGGACTCTCTGAGCCAAGAGGAGATTCTGAAATGTGATTTTTATTAAGTTCTAAATCCACTTCAGGTGTTACTTCATTTTCAAAGTATGCTACCACTGCTGATTCGCTGATGTGTTTTACAGGGGCAGGATCCTTTTGGTTTATTCTCATGTGAGTAGTTCTATCCTGCGGCCCAATGTCAGGCTTTTTGGCTTCTGTTGGAAACAACAGGGCAGGATCCTCAGGCAATGACTTAATTTCAGCTTCTGGGGCTTTTACGTGACTTGGAGTTGTGGGTTCACCAGTCGAAGCACTTTCCATTTCTTGCCTGGTTTGTGTAACAGTCAAATGGTTCCGTGAGTCTTGGGAAGGTAGCCTCTCTCCCCCATCGACAAGCTCTGTGTCTGCCACAGCATGTCTCTGAGGAGCAATGGTGCCGGTGTGACTGGCAGCCGGCTCTGATGAGCTGTCTACGGCTTGCTTGTCAGAACACTGACTCTCTGGCAGCTGCAGGTCTTCTCGCCTCGCTGATTTGCTAGGACTTGGCAAATCTGAACTTCCCTGTTTGCCAGTGTCGCCCCCATCAGATCTGCTACAAGAGAAACCAGAAGCAGTAGGTATCGGAGGCTCAACAGGCTCCTCTCTCCTCACTGATGCCCCTTCACTCATCACAGAGCTGTTTTCCTTTACAGTCTTTTCTGTTGTAGTCTTCCTTTGAACAGCTGGACTGCAAGTGACTTTGCTATTCTTACTTCCTGTCAACAGTGTCGCACTTTCTCTGTCAGTATCAGAAACGGGTAAACAGCTTAAGTGTTGCTTGGGGTCAGATTCTCCAGCAGCGAAGCTGGAGTCAGTCATAGCAGAAGGGGATGGCTGACTTCTCTCAGGTCCCCCGGGATCATTTTTATTTAAAACATCCGTAGAAGAAACAGTATTCTGAAGTCCTAGGTTGTTTGCCAGATGGTTTTCTGCGTTGACACTTATTTTGCTACAAGCAGAGTCTCCCAAATACCCTTTTGTAGAAATGTCTGTTGCAGCTGAAGACAGTGATGGCACCATCCCATCCTCCACCTCACTGCAAGGACCAATATGTGTGTGTGAACTAGAGTCAGAGCTTGCACTTTCTCTGTCCAATGGATTCACAGTTTCCAACAAGGTCTGTTGCTTTAACAATTTCCTAATGTGTCTAGGGCCTCTATAGGTCGCATACGTTACTGAAGGCCTCTCTGGTTTACCATCAATTTGTCTGTAGAAAGAAATAGCATGGGAGTATCAGGAAATCGAATTAATAACACCTAACAGTAATCTCAGCAAATATGTACTGTTATGGGGAGAAAATCCTAGAATGCTATAAACAAACTTATCTTTATTAAAAAAAAACAAAACAAACAAAAAAAAACCTGGGGCAAGTACTGTGGTATAACAGGTTAAACCACTGTCTACAATGCTGGCATTCAATATGATAACTTGTTTGAGCCCCAGCTGCTCCATTTCTGATCCAGCTCCCTGCCAACAGACCTGGCAAAACAGAGGAAGATGGCCTACGTGAGTGGGTCCCTGCTTCCCACGTGAAGACCTGGATGGAATTCCAGGCTTCTGGATTCAGCCTGGCCTAGCCACAGCTGTTGCGGCCATTTGGGGAGTGAACCAGCAGGTGGAAGATCTGTCTCCTTCCCTGTGTCTCCCTCCCTCCAACTCCACTGCTGAAGTAAATAAATCTTTAAAAATGTTAGGTCGGCGCCGCGGCTCAATAGGCTATTCTTCCACCTAGCGGCGCCGGCACACCGGGTTCTAGTCCCGGTCGGGGTGCCGGATTCTGTCCCGGTTGCCCCTCTTCCAGGCCAGCTCTCTGCTGTGGCCCGGGAAGGCAGTGGAGGATGGCCCAAGTGCTAGGGCCCTGCACCCCATGGGAGACCAGGAGAAGCACCTGGCTCCTGGCTTCGGATCAGCGCGGTGCGCTGGCCGCAGCATGCCAGCCGTGGTGGCCATTGGAGGGTGAACCAATGGTAAAAAGGAAGACCTTTCTCTCTCTCACTGTCCACTCTGCCTGTCAAAAATATATATATATATATATGTAAAAATAACAAAAACCTGACAAGCAGCATGTGAACATCAAGACAGTAGGAAGTCTGACGTCCTTAAGACTATCCCTTCTTACCTATTTACCTATGTATCTCTGTGGGTGATTAATGGAGAACACAGGGGCTGAGAAGCTCAAGGCTTAGGCTCTAAGTTCTGAGCTCAAAGGGAATCACACTAGGGAATCACACTGTCCCTGGATCTCATACTGGTACAAGTCGATGGATCACTAGGATTCCCCCGTTGCCTCAGTGCATCATACTGAGAGTCCACTTTCACTCTCAGATGTGAATTTGAACATCAACTTTTGGCCTGTAAGTCAGAGAGGTGTTAAAGAAAGAAAAAGGCATGGCAAGAAGTCTAACCCACAGTAAGCACTCAGTACACACAAGGGTACTTTAAAATATCAATGGAAAAAAGAAAGCAAGGTGTAAGTTTATTTTGGTACAGTTTTTGAAATCCATGTTTTTTCATAATATGCATTTTCCATGAACTTTTTAACTTAATATTTTATTTATTGTTGTTAAGACACCAATCAATCTTGGCGCAAAGTTCCTGAAGCCCTCACAACCAACTTCCCTGAACAACCAACATCTGGGAGTTCTCGAGCCATGCCACAAGCACTTCACACATACCACCCTTCTGTCCTTTAATTCCAGTGTGAAATTAATTTGAGAGTAAAATTGTAATGTCCTCCAGACTCAGCTTAAATGATCTCTACTGCACACTTAATCCCTTACTACAAAGATGCACAGTCTCTCACCTGCAGGTGCACACAGAATAGCAGTTGCCACATTAAATTATAAAGATCTATACACCTATTTATTTTCCCTACTAGCTCGTGGCAACTTGTGGAAAAACACTGTATCTTAATTATCTTAGCCTTTTTTTAAAAAAAAAGATTTAATTAATTTATTTATTTGAAAGAGCAACAGAGAGAAGTGGGGGCAGAGAAAGAGAGAGTGTGCTACCTTCCATTGATTGGTTCACTCCTCAAATGGCTATAATAGCCCGGGCTGGGCCAGGTAAAAGCCAGGAGCCAGAAATTCCGTCAGGGTCTCCACATAGGTGACAGAAGCCCAAGCATGCAAGCCATCATCTACTGCTTTCTCAGGCGCATTAGCAGGAAGCTGGATTGAAGTGTAGCATCGGGGACTTGAACCAGCATTCCAATATAGCATGCCAATGTCACAAGCAGTGGCTTCACTCACAGCATCACAACACTGGCCCTTATCATGTACGAATGCTTAGCTGCTCCACCCACTATTTGGAAAATGGAATCCGTTTAATATTTAATGCTAAATCATCTATTTTAAGTGAATGTCTTAATTCTTAGGGAACAGCAAAGTGCTTTGATTGTTGTTTACTCCAGAGTCAAAGGGACAGACAGAGAGCCCCATTCCCTGGTTTGCTTCCCAAATGCCTACAACAGCCAGGGCTTGAGCCAGGACCTGGGATTGTAATCCCGGTCTCCTTCATGGTTGGCATGAGCCCACTTATTCCAGCCATCATTGCTGCGTTCTAGGCTCTGCACTGGTGAGAAGCTGGAGCCAGGAATCTAACCCAGACACACTGATGTGGGAAAAGAGTCTTAGCTGCTGAGCTAAATACTCCTTTAAGTGTTCTAAATTCTGAATTCTCGTTAGATTTTAGTGTCCCAACTATAAAAATGGAAGACAGAAAAACCTGATGTGTTCTACTTTTTGTTTTCAGATTAAATGTATCATTACTACAGATATAGTAAACATTATATTACTATTGAATCTGCACGTATAACTAGGAAACACAATTGTCAGTATTCCAATATCTTAAAAAATATATTTTAACCCCCAACTTTAAAGCAGTAACATTAACAACACTAAATTTGCAAACATGACAAAAACAAAGTAAACATTTCCTTTGGCATAGGACAACTTGATCTGGGGCCAGCACTGTGGCGTAATGGGGTAGGCCGCTGCCTGTAACCATACTAGTTTGAGTCCCAGCTGCTCTGCTTCCAGTCCTGGGAAAGATGATCCAAGACCTTAGGCCTCTGCTACCCATGTGGGAGATGTGGATGAAGTTCCCAGCTCCTGGCTTTGGCCTGGCCTAGCCCCAGCCATTGTGGTCATTTGGGGATTGAACCAGCAATGGAAGATCTATTCCACCCCCCTCCCCCCCCACACACACACACCTTTCCTTCTGTCACTCTTCCTGGTAATTCATACCCTTGGAGACAGCAATGATGGTTCAAGGGGTTAGGCCCCTTCCACTCATTGGCAAAATGAAATGAATCTCCAGCTTCTTTAGCCGCTAACCTTGCCTGAGGCCACAGTGGGCCTTTGAGGAATTAACCCACAGATGCAGGTTCCCTGTTGTCTGCCTGTCTGTTTCTCAAATAAACAATTAATATAAATTTTTAAATTATTTAAATATTGGGGCCGGCACTGTGGCATAGCAGGTAAAGCAGCCTCCTGCAGTGCCAGCATCCCAGATGGGCGCCAGTTTGAGTCCCAGCTGATCTACTTCTGATCCAGCTCTCTTCTATGGCCTGGGAAAGCAGTTAGAAGAGGGCCCAAGTCCTTGCGCCCCTGAACCCGTGTGGGAAACCTGGAAGAAGTTCTTGGCTCCTGCCTTTGGATCGGCACAGCTCTGGCCATTACGGCCAATTGGGAAGTGAACCAGCGGATGGAAGACCTCTCTCTCTCTCTGCCTCTCCTTCTCTAGTAACTCTGACTTTCAAATAAAAAATTCTTTAAAAAACTATTTAAATATAATTCCTTTAATGAATATATATTGTTTTTAAACAATTATATTATTTTTAAAGATTTATTTGAAAGGCAGAAATATGGAGAGGAGGAGAAAGAAAGGTTTTTTTTTAAAAAAAAAAAACAACTATATTATGTTAGAGCACTGAAAATCGAAGTTGCAGGCTTAACTTCATGTATTATAATTAATGCCTTCAGGTACTGATGAGCTACACTCCTGACACTCTTTAAAACGCTGGCCATGTCAATATTGTCAAATTTCTACCTCATTCTTCCATAGGTTGTAAATGAGTCACCACAATGGAATAATATTAAGAACATAAAACTGTTCAATGTTTAGAATTTTCACCACTATATAAAGTAAAGTAGAAATGTCAAGACAGTAATTTTAAAAGCAAACTGAATTTGGAAAATTAGAGGGATGGCCATGGTGGAACAATGGGTTAAGTTGCCACTTTGGGTGCCTGTATTCCATTACAGAGTGTCTGGGTTCTAACCCCAGCACCAATTCCCACCCATTTTCCTCCTAATTTGCATTCTGGTAGGCAGCAGATGATGGCTCAAGTACTTGAGTCCTGCTACCCAAATGGTAAACCAAGATGGAGTTCCTGGCTCCTGACAACAGCCTGGCTTAGCAGTAGCTGTTGCAGGCATTTGCAGAATGAACCAGGATATGGAAGATCTCTCTCTGCTATTCTGCCTTTTAAGTGAATAGACTTCTTAAAAAGATGGAAAATAAGAAAAATACATTTTCCACAAACTGAAGAGAAAAAAGGGATTATAGATTTCATGTATTATGTAATTGTCATAGGAGCCACAAATTATCCTATATACCAAAAGAATGTAATCCAATTTTAAGAAAAAAATAAAATTCTTAAAAATTTCAAATAGTTAACAGACAAATATACTGAAAATCTTAAGAGTTTTTATTAATTGCTGCAAATGGCATAACTATTCATCATGTAAGGTTCATGAAGCCTTAGATAGCGCATTTGGCTATACTCCATTGTGGATAAATTTGATAAGCCTGATAGTATGACAAAGGTCAAACAAAGATGTGTGTCATTCTTCAAAGAAAATTCTCTAATAGCAGCCTGAAACTAATAACTAGCCTCATAACAAAAATAACTCATTCACTTGTCGGAAAATATAACCTATTTTTTCAGTGGTTATGATTTATTTCCTTTCAAATTACATGGTTAAGCATATCTTCTCCCATAATAGGAATGGCTTTTGACATTTATATGCAAATAAAATCAGCAAGTTTTTAAAAAATCACAAGAGCTTTGACAGAAGAGACTCATTATGATAGATATGAAACTGTAAAATACATAAGGACTGTAATAACATACATGTTTAAAATTTTCTTAATCCAAAAATGGTTTTTATATAAATTACACCATAAGCATGAGTTAACAATCTACAAAATATTACCAAATGGATTTTCTAAAAGGTTTTATGGACATTAAAACTCAATTCAACTGCACAACAATTACAAACTTTTTTTTTATTTTTAATTAAGATGAAATCATTTACAACGCCATTAGTGAAGAGTTTTTAAAGCTCACTTTGAATAGAAAATAATTTGTTTAAATTTTTAAAACTGTATTAATGATAATCACAAAATGTTTGACAGTATACTAATGAATAGTGTTATAAAATACTATTTTATTAATTTGTCTAAATTAAGCCATTTTAATAAACCCTGATTATTAAAACCTATAAAGGAAAAAAGGGGCATTTTTCCATGAGAAAGGAAAACCACCAGTTAATCTGCCTGTGACTGATCTGATCAGTTTATACTATACACATACACCAAAATACTGCACTACAGCCAATAAAGATGTATAAATATTACAGGTAAAACAAAAGCAAACACATAAAAATAAAATTGAAATTTTATAAGTGAAACAAATCTAATAATTTCAGAAGTATAGGCTCTTAAATCTACATAACATTTTATATTTGAAATAATCTCATAATCTAAATAAAAAAACAGTATGTCCTCACTTTTAGTTCACTCATATCACAGAATGAAAACCTTAATACTTAATACTTAAAATTTAGACTCTCAAATTAGTAAATAATTCTCTCTATATAATACTTTTTCTTTTGACAGGTAGAGTTATAGACAGTGAGAGAGAGACAGAAAGAAAGGTCTTCCTTTCGCCGGTTCACTCCCCAAATGGCTGCTACGGCTGGCGCTGCGCCGATCCGAAGCCAGGAGCCAGGTTTCTCTTCCTGGTCTCCCAAGCGGGTGCAGGGGCCCAAGCACTTGGGCCATCTTCCACTGCTTCCTGGGGTCACTGCAGAGAGCTGAACTGGAAGAGGAGCAACCAGGACTAGAACTCGGGGCCCAAATGGGATTCTGGCGCCGCAGGCGGAGGATTAAGCAAGTGAGCCACAGTGCCGGCCCTCTCTCTATATAATATTTAAATAACATCTAAAACCATATGTGAACAGCCCCTAATCATACAATCAAAATGAACTATTGTGAAAATGGTATTCAACCTTTAAATTTTAATTCTTCAATAAACGACAATGTCAACAGGAAGTTACTAAAACTGCAAATAAACTTGATAAACTGGGATTTCTGCAGCTAGGTTCAGAGGAAGCCTGTGTATCATTCGCCCCAGGATCCGGTCATCTCTTCTTTCCCACATAAATCAAGAATCATACTTATTGGCTGAGGTGGTTTTGGAGAACTGCCTCAAGCCATTCTATTAATAAAGAAGAGGTTTACTACTCAGAAGAAACAGACAAAGTGTCCTCTGTCATCTTCTGTTGTCCAGTACCAAAGACATAAACCTGATCAAAGTAATCTCAACCCAAAGAGAAAAAGCACAGACTTTCCATTTCATCCAGTTCTCACATAACAGCCTCAACATCCCCATCATTTCAAATTACTTTAAAACTCTGGATTTCAAATAAATGCATGCAAAAAGCCACCTGGACATGTGTTAGAAGGTCGCTGGGCTGACTCCCAGAGATCTGATCTGTGGGTCTGAATCAGATAATGTGCCCCTCTAGATGCTGCCGCTGCTGCTGCCCCAGTACCAACGTCCAACAGCACAGCAGCGCTGCTTGAGCGAACTCTGCATCATGGGTCTACCACAGCTGAGCTTCTTTCCTGCTGCTGGACGCTTGTTTCCAATCGTATCTTACTATAAATACCATTTCAATAACCCCTTTTATATCATCTGAAATAATCTACCAGCTTCCTCTGGTCCTTAATAGATTTTGCCAACTAAATTACTACAACACACTGCCCGGCTACACCCCCACTCCCAGCAGGTGTTGAGCGCCAGCCTTGTCAACCTCAGCTTGTGCAGAGCATTGATTCTTCCTCTTATCAACTTAGGAGGAGGAAAAAGTTCTCATTTCTGTTTGCATTTCTTTGATTGCCCATGAAAATAAACTCTGTTCCACTTACTTATTATTTACTTATAGTTCTCCTGAGTAATTTGTTGACACTGTTTGACTTCCCCTTTTATTTCTATTGGTGAGTTTCTAAACTGTGTATCAGTTAATGCATTCTCTGTCATATTTTCTGCAATATGATTTTCTCGTTTGCCACTTAACTCTACCATGTTTGTATTCTTTGACATAAGAGTTTGAAAGGGAGTGACCCAATCTATTGATCTTCTCTTTCTGGTACCTTCCATTGCTATTATGCTGAGAAAACTGTTCCTAACCAAAATAAATTAATAACTTGCACACAGTAGTTTTCAACTTTTGTTCCTCTATCTTATTTAAATATAAAAAATTAGAGAAGCAGAGATTTTTCTCCCAATTGTGAACCAACTTTCCATAAGAATATATAATGTCCTCAACCAAGGGTTAAAATTACAAATATAGGGGCCAGCACTGTGGCAAAGTGGGTTAAATCCCCAGCTTGCAGTGCCAATATCCCATACGGGCACTGGTTCAAGTCCCAGCCACTCCATTTCTTATCCAGCTCTCTGCTATGGCCTGGGAAAGGAGCAGAAGATGGCCCAGGCCCTTGAGCCGCTGAACCCATGTGGGAGACCTGGAAGAAGCTCCTGGCTCCTGGCTTCGGATGGGCCCAGCTCTAGCTGTTGCAACTATTTGGGGAGTGAACCAGAAGATGGAAGACCTCTCTAACTCTTTCAAATAAATAAAATAAATCTTTAAAAAAATCACAAAGATATGAGGATCTATTTCTAGATGTCTATTCTGCTGCAACGAAATGTGTAGCAAATCCGACATCAGTTGTGAAGTTGTTTCAATTAATGTACCTTTATCAGTACATCTCTAACATCTGTTAGATGATAAACTCTACCTAGACCTCAGTTCTCACAACTGTATGATGGGTCTGTGACTACTTCATAAGTCTGTCTTATGAGAAATTAACTGACAACACACACATATGAACATACTTCAAAAACCACACGCACAAAAAAATGTGAGTTATTATCCATATATGACCATAGTTTTACTGATGATCCTTTCAAATGATAAAATTTCAGGCAGAGGTTATATTAGCACCACACTTTAACCAACTGAGCTGACTGGCCAGTTAGGTAAAGGTTCTAATTTCTGTTAAAATCAACAGAAACACATCTTAATTACCTGTGAATGAACACTGTTAACATTACTGAAGATGTCTACTGGACTCAATGTGGTTACAAACATTTCTTGGGTAGAAAAATATTCCTTCAAGCTCATTTTAGTAAAGGGCAAAATAAGTTGATACCTGTTTGATCATCAAATAAAACAAGGTGGTGAAACACTCCTACACTTGATCTTAGCCAAAAGGCCGAGAAGCGATGTGAAACACTCCTTAAAGTCATGTCAAATTTTGGCTTCTTAGAGCTACATAAAATCCTCTGCATTCATATAGTCACTTTCAAGAATACACCCAATTTATTTTTTAGCCCCTTTAACAGGATTCCACAAAGAAAACAGATGACAGAATGGGAACAGTACATTAGGACCATTTTATCTCCAAAGATGCACAAACCCTATACAATGCCTGCCTGAATACAGAAGGAACTCACACAACAGAAAACGTTCCCATTCAAGTCTTAAGTTAGAAATAATTTTGGGAAGCCAGCGTTGTGGCACAGCAGGCTAAGCTGCTGCCTGCAATGCTGGCTTCACATATCAGAGCACCAGTCTGAATGGATCCCTGCCACCCATGTGGAGACCAGGGTGGGGTTCATGGCTCCTGGCTTTGGCCTGGCCCTGACCTTTCCTATTGCAGCCATTTGGGGGAATGAACCAGTAGTTGGAAGGTCTCCAGCTCTGTCTCTTCTTCTGTGTTACTCTGCCTTTCAAATACATAATCAATCTTTAAAAAAGAAATCATGTTTATACTATGACAAACATAATACCTGAAAGGTATTAGTACCACCCACACAATAGCCCAAAGGACCCTAGATTACCTATAGGATACACAAAATCAGACCATTTTTAACCTAGTAGTAAAGACATTACAGAACACCTTTCCTGATTTCTCCAATTAATAGGATTACAAATTAGTTGAAAAACTCAATTTTGAGGCTCAATTACATTTGTAACTTATTTTGGTAAATCGCTGGTATTACATTTGTAACTTACTTTGGTAAATCGCTGGTTTCCTGTTCACTGTCATGTGTGGTATCCAAAGAAAACGCATCTGAGAGTTCACTGGAGTTGGATTCTTGTTCTTCTGTTGGAAGTGCCTGGGACCCGGGGGAGCCACTGACATTCTCCCGCTCCCTTTTGACCCCTTCCTCACGCTGGTCACAGGGCGTCTGTAAATCTTTCTCGGTTTTATCATGGTCATCTTTGAGGGAAGACTGCTTGGCTTCACTAAGAGTCGATTTTCCTGAGATATTGAATAAGTTACCAAGAAACTGAAAGAAACTTTCTTTTGGCTGTCTGTCACCTTCTCCAGCTTTGGTATCTGAAGTGGAACTGGAAAGGTCGTTTGGCTTTTTGGAATCTTCCTGTGTTGAAAGAGTAATTGGCTTCTCCGCATGGTTCCTTTTGTCCTCACTTTGGGAAATCTTTGGAAAGAAAATACAGAATAACAAAAATGATCATCTGAAAAATAAGACATGACACACTCTGTGCTAGACACCGGGACACATTTAAGAATCAGACTTACAGCTTCTGCTTCTCTGAGCAGCTTCTATATAATCTACCGGGAGCACCGTTAGCAAGACTTTACCGAAGCTTGGAGTACAGGCTGTAGAGAAGTGTGCAGCACATGTGGGCACCAGACAGGGGTAACCAGTCCAGAGGTGACGGAGGTGAGGACAGAAGATACAGCCAGAGGGATGCTTCCCACAAGAAGCGCACCTTCTGAAGGGACCCTCAAAAGTACCAGTGTGATTCCTGCATGTGTGTGTATTTAGTGAGGCACCAGCTTTTCAGGGAGATTCCTATGACTAGATATTCAGGTACAAAAATGAAGAGTGGGAGGTCAGTACACAGAGATAAGGGACATATCTTGGCAAATCTTATGTGTCTTTCAGTTGCCCTTTGTTATAACAGAGCTAATGGAGAACACCCTTGGTACCTTACATAACTAGCACCTAAGTAGACCTTATCATTTCAGCAGTGTGCTAACCCCTGACCCTGTCATATAATGCAAAACTGTTCCTCAAGACGACAAGATAGTAACAAGTGCTTCAATTCAGAGAAAGAGCCCACTGTTACCCCTTGCTGGTGAAACATCAAATCCTGACAATGCATTCAAGCAAATCGTTAACAGAGCTGAACATTCCTGCAGACAGTCAACTGTTCCGGTGTGCAGGTGCATTTTACCCACGCATAATTAAGTTGCTGGTAAAACAAACTCACATTCACGTGCCCTTCGTGAAAGGAAAAAATTGAGCTGCAGCAAAGAGCAGGTTGGCATTCTACCTCACACTCTCCTGGATTTCAAAAAGCTTCCGGCTTACGGGCCAACCCATTTTGCCTTCCAAACATGCTCACTCACATACTTGTGAATGGAATGCATGTTTAACAGTATCTGTCACCTGTCATGCTCACTAATCCTTATAAAATAAAAGCTCGAGTGAGTCAGGAAAAGATCAGAAACCAAGGGAAAATCACCGCAGGGCATTGTAGGTTCACAGCACAAAGTTTCATAAGACACGGATCTTCAGGAAGCAAGAGTGCCATTAATTACCATGTCATTTGTTCACCTTATTCCATGTTTTCCTCCAAGTTCAAAACAAGTTAAAGGAGCATTCCACTACCACTAATACAATTAAGCATATGAATGACTGAGAAGCATGTAGGACCTATGAGCTCAGTAAACCAATTTCGAGTCATCAGTATTTTAAGTTCCTTAGGTGTCAGAGGGTATTTTTGAGTAAACATTGTGCATTTTTCTACGCCTTCCTATAACTTGTAAGTACAGTAAGAATCACACTGGCCTTCTAGAGTCCCCACAAGCCTCATCTTTTACGGGTTTCTATTGGAATATGATCCCTCTTGGCTGCACCGCAGCCAGCCAACATTTGGCTCCTTGGAAGAGACCACTCCTCACAGCAGCAGCATTAACAGTCTATCAACAGATTATATGCTAGAAAGTTTCTTAATGCTATGTATATGAAAGATACACACACACATATATATTATGTATATCCTTTTAAGTATTCTACTTAATTTGTTGTAATTTCCAGCTACGATATTTCTCCCTAGGTCAAAAGGAACATTGTGACATGAATAAAACAATATTACCTGTAACTAGTATCATCCTGCTTAGCCACTTCATCCAAGTGAACTATACAGACTGCTCATTAGAATATCAAAAATATTAGCAAAATGCTTTAGATATTTACAAAAGAGTTTTATAAGCTTGGGGTAATGATCTAAAAAAGGAAAATTAAGAAGGAGATTGCAGTTTTTGACATTAAACTAAGACAAGTCATTTCTGTCAAAAATACTATTGATTTCAGTAAATTCTGATTTTTATTTGACATTTCCTTTCAAAACGTAACAGATTCTTTCCACATAGGCGGTATGTTTTGTAACCTAAAAGAAGTTGTCACATTTAAACTTTTTAGTTACATATCATTAAAAAAAATCATGTTTCTCCTTACTCTTAACTTTGTTTTTTCACTATTCTAAAATCTCTATATTGTAAATTCACAAAAGAGCATTTTTTGTTGTTTCCTTAAGTGTCTCAGTTACTTAACTTTTCCCTCATAAATCTTTTAAAAAGTTTCAATCGGTAATTAACAAGAACATACCCTTAGCAATAAAAACGTTTCTAAATTTAGAAACAAAAACCTGTAGAAAAGAACATGGCCATTTAAAGTAAACACCTACAATAAATTCCATTTTCAGAGTTAACATTTTAAGTTTGATCTAAAGCAGCTGTTCCTGGTCCTCAGCTTACTCCAAAACGAAGTTCAGCCTGCCACAGGCCCTCCTTAGGTGGGGTCCCCATCTACCAGCCAACAGGCCTGTCTGCCATAGTTCCAGTGAGTGAACAGAATGAAAGCACTCAGGATTCAAGCAAACACTAACAACAGAGCAATTCCAAAGTTCTCAAAGATGTGGTTTTCTGCACACAGCATATGCATGCTACTGATGAAACATGTGCATCTAGGAATTTTTAATTTCTCCCTTCACACTAAATAAGTTATAAAGCAGTTCCCTCACCCAAGCTTATCCTTCCATTCACTCCTCTTTGCTATATATCCCATACAGGGAAATCTGGGGAATCATTAGGTGCACTGCAGAATAAAACTTGGTCCCAGCCTCCCAGGAGTTTGCAGTCCAGCAAAATACTCATCTTAAAAGTAGCTGTATTTGAGGCCAGCGCTGTGGCGCAGCGGGTTAACAGCCTGGCCTGAAGCACACCATGTGGGCGCTGGTTCGAGACCCGGCTGCTCTACTTCTGGTCCAGTTCTCCTCTATGGCCTGGGAAAGCAGTGGAGGACGGCCCAACTCCTTGGGCCCCTGCACCCATGTGGGAGACCTGGAAGAAGCTCCTGGCTCCTGGCTTCAGATCGGCGCAGCTCCGGCCGTTGCAGCCAATTGGGGAGTGAACGAGCGGATGGAAGACCTCTCTCTTTCTCTGCCTCTCCTCTCTCTGTAACTCTGACTTTCAAATAAATAGATTAAACTTAAAAAAGAAGAAAAGTAGATAAATATGCAATGCAGGACATAATTAACTTGACTGGGATGGGGAGAAACCATTACATGAAGGAGGTAAAAATGTATGCTTGCTCCTTAAGGGTGAAGAGAGCATCCTAGACACCAGGTATCACATGCACAAAGACAGTGAACTTTGCAGTACGTCTACTAAGGGAGGGGTGTGGCTGAAGAAGGCTAGAGCCAAGACAGGTGAGAATTAGGGCCCGTGAAAGAGAAGGGAGAGGGCAACAAAATATTTAGCTATCAACCATGTCGAATTTTGGTACCCTGGTGGTGTACGAGTCAAGATGCCTGATAAGCAACCAAATATACAGCTTAAGAATGCAATCTGGCCACACAGTTTGTTCAACTGACAAGGAGGTCAATGAAAGAACCCTAAGGTAAACAAGATTAAAAAGCAGGTACAAACAAGAGAAGAAATCAGCAGCAACAGAGATGCACAAGGCCCAAAGCAGACCAGGTAATTTCTTCCAGAATCCTGGTCTCCACTGGTAAAAACCTAAGAAAGCTTCCAAAATGGAGCAAAGAATGCCAAATGCCACTGCCAGATCAAGAAAGACAGGAACCTCCCTCCTCACTGATCTTCACACACATCAGGCACAGCCCTACCTCGGGAATTGTTCCTTTACTCTTCTCTCTGCTTAGAATGGTCTTCCCCCAGTAGCTCCTTGTAGTTGACTCACCCCACCTCACCACCTTAAAAGCCAGCTCCTCATTTAAAGATTCCCCTCTCAGTAACTTAGGAAACCCCTGCACTTTGAAACTGCTCACTATCCTTCTGTTTTAATAACCTCCATGTACTTGCCAGTAAATGCGTACACACTAAACACACACACACACACACTAACACACAGACCCATAAATATTTACTATCTGTTTCTTCTAAAAAGTAAAATCCAACTGGAGTAGGGAGTTTTGCCTGTTTTATTCATTGCAGTATCCCTAGCACACAGAAATGTGTCAGACAATCAGCGGGGCTCAAGTATTTGTTGGAATAAATAAAGGAATGAAGACTATGGAAAATCTCTAGGAATGCAAAAGAAACTGTCCTACCAGCCCAGGAATTCCTGAGTCCAGTCCCAAAGTCAAGCTGTGAAGCAGTGAGTAGGGTACAAGGAAACAGAAACAGTCACGGAATAGCAGGGAACCCGTGAGAGATTTTTAAGTACAAAGAAGGAAAGACAAAGGTGACATTTTAAGTTCCAAGATGGAAGCAGTGGCTTTTGGCTCCTGTTTTGTGGACCACTGTTATACTTGCTGGAAAAGGAGTGACTTCTGCAGGAGAGAGATGGATGACAGCTCCAGAAGACAAGGCTGAAGATGACAAGATGAAGAGGCCAAAACAGTCTTTCATACCCGTAATAAAGGGAAGGCATTAGCCGTGGGAGGAGGAGGGACACTTTCTCTCCCAAGTCAAGGAGGAAGGAGAGTCGCTAAAACCTCTGCACTCGGTGCAGAAAACGACGAGTGAGGTCTAACACGCGGCTCTAATCTCAGCAGACAGAGAGAAGAGAAAATGAGCTGAATGGGGGCTGTCAGGGTGGAGCTCAGGCTGGGGCTCCCAGAATAAAGACTTGAAGAGCGTTTCTGGGGAAGGCAACCCAAGTCAGCAACACACTAAAACTAGGCGTGCCAAATAGCAGTCAGAGTCCACGTAAACCTTACAGTATTGACCTGTTCGCTAAATGAAGAACACACTATTGTAGGTGTTTGGATAACAGTGAAGAAATACTTCTAAACCCCAGCTCTTGTAGGACCTACATTATGTGATGTAAGAATTCTTGTAGATCTAATCAGCACTGTTTTGTCACCTCTTCCACCAGCCTGCAGCAGGTGGTGGGTGCTATGCCAATGCAATGACTGGCACAGTGAGCATGGTCAACAGAAC